CTATCTATGGCTGGACAGTTATTACGGTTGTTATTTGCAAGTAGTATGTAAATAATATTTCAGTTTAAAAATGCTGATCTGGCCCTGACTGGTTTGGCTCAGTGGATAGAGTGTTCACCTGCGGACTGGGGAGTCCCAGGTTCGATTCCAGTCAAGGGCATGTACCTTGGTTGCTGACACATCCCCAGTAAGGGGTGTGCAGAAGGCAGCTGATCAATGTTTCTCTCTCATTGATATTTCTAACTCTCTATCCCTTTCCCTTCCTCTCTGTAAATGAACCAATAAAATATATTTTTTTAAAATGCTGATCTGTATCATTCTATTATTTAATTCTTTTGGAATAAAGTTAACTTCTTTTCTAGATATCTAAGAAGATTGATAATACTTCAAGTTGTTTTTTTCTTTTTACATAAAAACTACACTTCTCAAAAATTGATTAGAATTTATCGGCAAAAGATTGTTGTTTAGTCCCTTAACAATAATTGATTTATGCATTATTTTTTATTTCATAATCTAATTTAGACATATAAATTTCCCTGTACACTATTTTTTGTTACCTTCGTAAAATGTAAATCATATTGTTTAATTTAGCTTTGTTTCTTCTTTTTGGGAAAATATTTGGCTATATATACAAGTCACTCTACTGGAAAATATTAGTATTTAAAGATGGAGTTAGTCTCTGGGTTCCTGCATCTCTGAAACCTTGGATCAAAGGAATGAGCTGTGATCCAGGGCAGGTGTCAACCAAGTTCAAGAGATTACACTGTCCCTGCTTCCAGTATCTACCCACTAGAGGGATCCCTGCTCCAACAAATCTAGTTCAGGGTTTAAATGGGGAACAGAGCCCTCTGCTGTCCTTGGAGCAAACCAGATAAACCCCATTCCCTGAAGCTGTCCTGCAGGGCAGTTACCTGTAGGTGGGCCAGAGGAACAGAAAACCCAACTCTACTAGGGACAACACCTGAGACACTAGCTCCTGGGACTTGTGAGAGGAAACAGCTCCCATTGCCCAAGGACTGGCTCTAGAGGGGCTGAGGAAAACCCTTAGGCTCCACTAGCCCTGGAAAGTTTCAGGAGCAGCCATGGCCCAGGGACAAGGAGAGACTTTAGGGAGTAAATGAGAGGTTGTCCAGGAGCTTATAAAAGGCCAGGTGTAGAAGGGACTGGCGATGCCAAGGAATCCTGAGGCTCCTTAACAGACTGCACTCATTGCCAAAGGTTAAATACAAAAAGAGAATCTTAAAAGCAGCAAGGGAAAAGCAGTTACTTACCTGCCAGGGAGTGCCCACAGGGCTGTAAGCTGATTTCTCAACAGAAAATTTGCAGGCAAAAAAAAAAAATTTTTAATAAAAAATTGCAGGCCTGAAGGGAGTGGCAAGAAATATTCAAAATGAAATGAAAAACAGCTACTTGCTATCAAGAATACTCTACCCAGCAAATCTATCATTTAGAATTTAAGGTCAGATAAACAGCTTCACAGAAAAGAAAAAGCTAAAGGAGTTCATGGCCATGGAATCAGAATTACATAAAATGTTGAAGGGTCTTCGAAGAAGAAGAGGAAGAACAAGAAGAAAAAAGATAAAAAATATGAACAATAAGCACCTCAAGAGTGATATAATTTATTGATGTTTCATATACAAATGAAAATAAAATGGTAACAATTATAATACAATTTCATCTCTGTACATTAATTAGGAAGTTTGGAACTTAAAATTTATAAATAAATATTACTGTATATCAGCTTAAGTACACCATTACCCATACAAATGAATCCCAGTTGTATTCTAAGAGTTGTCCCTATACAGAAAATTTACTTAGTCTGAAAAAAGTATAAAACAACAATAAATACATATCTATCAACAATTAAACCTAAAAAAAAAAGCAACAAGAAATTTAATAAGCAAAATGAAAGCATGGAAACATGAAATAGACTGAAGAATCTCAGAGGGAGGAGGAATCAGAGGTAGGTAGAGATTAAATAGTTCATATGCATTACCTATGGACACAGACAAAAGAGTGATGAATGCCTGAGGCAGGGCAGGAACTGGGTGGAGCTGGACAATGAGGGGGTGGGGAAAGGGGAGACATCTGTAACATTCTCAACAATCCAGATGCTAAAAAAGAGATAGTGCCTCAGAATGGAGGAGGTAAAAGTGTTTGCAGAGAAACTGGATTTGCTTTTGCAGTCTGTGGGGACCACTGGAGGCTCAGGACTATTGGGCCTGACTCAAGGATGCAAGGCTTACAGGGGCAGAGGATCCCCAGGTCCAGACCAGAACTTCAGGGACTTCTGGAGCTCCAGTGGGTCCGCCTGGCTCTGCTGATGCTCTCCTGTGACAGCCCTGAGTGCTTTTCCCTGAGTTGGCTCCTGCTCATCAGTAAGGCCCCAGAGTCCTCCTTAAGTTAGGGGGTCTGAGCAGGCCAGAAGACCCAAGACTGAGTAGCAAGTAGTGGCAGGTGGCATCAGGGTCCTTTCTCCCTGGGCTCTGAACCTGCACAGAGCAGGCTGTCATTTGGAGAGGATGGGACCAGGAAGAGCTAGTTACCTTCTGCCTTTGGTTGAAAGAGTAGCTACAAGCAAAGAAGGGGAGAGTGAGAATGCTGTGAGGGGAAAAAAGGTGGTATCCACATTTGGCAGGAAGGAAGAAATCAACCTAGTTTTTGTTTGTTGTTTTGCTTATGAATCAACTGTGAAAGAGGAATTTATTAAGCACAAAATCCTCTGATTGTAATTTTATTCCAGTTTATCATTTACTATGAGGAAATGGCCAAGTGAACAGATTCTTATTTTAACCAATGCCATCTTATTGTAAAAGAAAATTCAGAATTTTAATCTGTATTTGTCCAATATTTGTACTTCCCTGCCTCTTTCTGATTACCCTTCCTGGTCCTTCCTCTCTGCTAAAACTGAGTGTGGCCAGGATGTAACTTTCATCTCTGTATCCCGTGCAACTAGGACAAGGCTCACAGAGCAGTAGATGCTGAAAATGTATGCTTTAAAAGCATGATTCACCAGCAGAGGTGTGAAAAGTGTAAGTGTTGTTATTATTTTCTCATACTGTAATTGTACAATTTTAAAACACATACTGCAATATTTTACTAAGACATCAAGAAATAAGATAAACTCTCAAGTCCTGACTGCTTCCATATATGATACAAGTGCACCCTAGCTGGGTTGGCTCAGTGGACAGAATGTTGGCCTGTAGACCAAAGGGTCCCAGGTTCCATTCAGGTCACGGGTTCTAGGCTCCTCACTGGCTGGGTCCTGGTTGAGACTCCGGAAGGAGGCAACCAATCGATGTGCTTCTCTCACATAAATGTTTCTCTGTCTTTCTCTCTCTCTTCCAGTCTTTCTTAAAAAAAAAAAAGAAAAAGAAAAAAAAATACAATTGTTTATGCAATGCTAATGTCCACAAGAACATGAATAAAAAGCGAAAACATCCAGGAATGTTTAGAAAAAAAAGTATGAGCTGGCACTGGCTTTAAACAGACTTTAATGTCACTAAATCAAAATAATGAGGCAGTGTGGTACCAGTACATGAATTCTCAGACAGATCAGTGGAATAAAATAGTTATACATATACACACATACACATACAGGTACACAGTGTCATACAGAGAAATTTGCGGTAAAGATCTAGTCAGTTTGGCTCAGTTGATAGAGTGTCAGCCCATGGACTGAAAGATTGCAGGTTTCATTCTGGTCAAGTGCACATACTTGATAATAGGCTTGATCCCTGGCCTCTGAGAGCACACGCCAAGGAGGCAACCAATTCATGTATCTCTTTTACATAAATGTTTCCCTCCCTTCTACTCTCTTTAAAAATCAATGGAAAAATATTCTTGAGTGAGAATTAACAACAACAACAAAAAAAAGGTAAAGGGAGTAAGTGGAGGATGGATGTGATTCATTTTCACATAGAGCATTAGAGAGGGTTTGGGGCAAAAAACAGAGTAAAACCAGACAGTGCCTGGAAAATTGGTGCCAGAGTCAAAGGGGACTGACTTTAATGAGCACCCAATTGAAATGAAAGGGAAAAGTTCACAAAATTTAATTTCCAATTTTTGAAACCAGTAAGAAAAGTCTAAGATATGAATATACATACAGAAATTGTGCTGCCCACAAGCCCCATCCCCTCACAAGACAGGATGACCAATAATTCGGAGAGAAGGGAGACAGATATCAGGGGCTTCACAATTTATTTTCCCAACTTTATAAACCAATATTAATAATAATTTTTCCACAATAGCAACCATTGTAAAACAAACAAACAAACAAACAAAAAACAAAACAACAAAAACTTCTATATTTTTTCTTTTTAAAAATATATTTTTATTGATTTCAGAGAGGGAGGGAGACAGAAACATCAAGGATGAGAGAGAATCCTTGATTGGCTGCCTCCTGCATGCCCCTTACTGGGGATCAAGTCCACAACCAGGCATGTTCCCATGACTGGAATCCAACACAGGACCCTTCAGTCTGCAGGCCAGCACTCTATCCACTGAGCCAACTGGCTAAGGCCCCAAACTTTTTCTTAAAGGCAACTCTTCTTCCTCCAGTCAATCCAATCTTCTCCTCTCCAGTTCCAATGCAAGAGTCCTGATAGACAGTTTCACAGAGAAAAAGCACAGGTCACGGGCTCAGGGGAGTCCCTATTGCCTCAATCGAATAGAAGTGGAGAGTAAAATTTCTCAGCTCAGAAAACTCAGTCCAATCCAGTGTGCCCTCCAGAGCCTGATTATCTCATTATTTATTTCAAGAGCATTAATTCCATGGAATTTCTCTGGAGGGTAGATTTTGGGTATAGAAGAAAGTCAAATGTCCTACACAAGATCTCTTCTAACTAGACCTAATTTCTTTTCTTTAGGGAAGGAGAGGCAGATGAAAATGAAAAGGGACAGAGAGACAAGTCCCTTAATTTGGTGTCAATGCCAAGGACTATGGTTGGGAAGTTCTCTATCTCACCATTTAGAAGTGAACAAAGCTCAGTTGGAGAGAGTCAGAGGCTGGAGTGGCTGTTCTCACATTCTACATCTACATCTTCACTGCTGGGGTCTGAGGAAGCACTGCTGGAGTCTGAGGACGCCCTGCCTTCTGCCTTTCCCCCATCTTCCTTATTTTCATCAGATTCCTGTGAAGTCTCTGATGACTCCATCTCTGGAGCCTGCAGCTCCTGCTCCTCCTGTGCAAGCCCTTCTTGCAGAGTCCTTGCTGATGGAGATTGCACTTCTATCTTGATGATCTTGGGGTCTGGGCCTCTACGCATTTTTATCTTACGCTTCCCAGCGCTTCTCTCTCTAAAGGCAGCGTACTCTTCAGCAGACAGAGTCTTGAGCCATTTATCCAGGTCCACCGTGTACTGTTTCTGCAGCTCCTCAGCCTGCTGCTCATAAAGCTCCCTCTGGTCCATTGGAACACGCTGCCAGAGTCTGCAAATCTCCACCATGCGCTGCCTCGGGTGCAGGCCTTGCAGCTCCTCACTGGACCACACATCCTGGTGGAACTTGTGGTATGCATTCATGGGGGGCTTCTCAGGCTCTCCACAGAATCTTATGTCCCCCCAAAGATCATTTTCCTGCGAAGATTTCAGTTCTTTTTCATCTCCCTTAAACTTCTTGCGGGCTCTACTTCGGCTCCCTTTGGGGACAACAGAGGTCTTGGAGTTCTGCTCAGGCTCAGGGTGGTCTTTCCTGAACTGAGCCAGTTTCTCCTGAAACTCCTGTTTCTCCTTGTGAAAGTCTTCCATATATTTCAGTTTCATCTCCTCTGGGAGCGCCTTGTATTTCTCAGACATGACCTTGGTCAGTTCCTGGTTGTTGAGTTTGGGGTGCATTTGGGAATACTCAGGCCGTTTCTCCTTAAGGAAGCGGAGGTAAGCAGTCAGGGGCTTCTTGGGCATGTCTGGATGTTTCTTGAGTTTTTTGCTTTGGTAAGAATTTTTAACATGTTCCTTAGCTTCCAGCACTAATTCTGTCAGAGTCCTATACTTTCTTATCTTCCTAGAAATCTCTAACCACTTGAGTTTGCACATTTCTCCAGAAAAATCTTTAAAAGCTACTTTTGCCCAGTCCATATATGCCTGGGCTGTTTTGAATGTGTGGTTGTCACTGGGTGGAAGGTTATTCTCCATTCTTTCCAGTAGCTGTGCAATGTCTTCTTCACACCAGTTATCTTGGCTATTAGACAATGCCATCTCTAAATCTTTGGGTCACTTGTATGGTCCTAGCTGTTTAAACACCTCAGCAAGATCTCAAACTTCTTTACTCTCAATCCCCTGGTGAATTATCTCCAAATGTGTGATTTTATGTTTCTATGGAGATAGAAAAGTAACTCTTCAATGCAATAAATGAGATTATTGCATGCCACTTAGGCTATGCTCCTTGTATAATTTAATTTACAAATGAAAACTGGCTCACCCCTGGAAATGAAATTAAGATGAACTTTAAAATGCTTCATTTGCATTATTAAACATCCTCAAGCTCAAAAAAAATAAAAATAAATAAAAAATAAGAGAAAGGCAGAAAGAGAAAAAGAAGAAAAAAATAACAGTTCTTTCAAGTTCCATCCTAGAATGCCTTTCTATTTTTCTTACCACATCTTGTCTTAATTACAAGTGAACCAAACAAATAACCAACAATTTACTCAACAAGCATAGGATAAAAGAAAGGATGGGAGAGGTAAAAATATTAAAATGAAAGAAAAATACCTAAAATGGAAAGGACTTTAAAAAATAACAGTGTTTATGTTCAAGTAACCCTTATTTTTCTTTTATTTTTTAAATATGTTTTTATTGATTTATTAGAGGAAGGGAAAGAGAGAGAGAGAGAAAGAGAGAGAAAGAGAGAGGGAGAGAGAGAGAGACATCAATGATGAGAGAGAATCAGTGATTGGCTGTCTCCTGCATGCCCCCTACTGAGGATTGATCCTGCAACCTGGGCATGTGTCCTTGATAGAAATCAAAACTATGACCCTTCATTTTGCAGGCCAACAATCCATGCACTGAGCCAAAACAGCTAGGGCACCCTTATTTTTCTTAATAGAACCAATGCCCAAATCTAGCAATGCTGGCAATTTATATATGTCAAAAAGAAACCGTAGAGACCTTCCTTTAAGTTAAAAGAAATATAACCAATTTCATTATAAATGGGGAATTCTTACTAGAATTATCTCTAGAATTATCTTTAAAGTCAGAGATAAGAACAAGGATAGTCATTGGCACCACTGTATAATAGTCTTAACTGTCACAATTTATAAAAATGATGGGTGAGGAGATGAGAAAAGAATACAAATGAAATGATTGTAAATAAAAATATAATACTGCTCATGCTATAATATCTGTAGGGGATGACTATATTACAGAAAAAAACAAAAACTATACTAACAAATCTTGGGGACAAAAATCAGGAAAGAGGTAGGAAAAATGTATTTAAGATTAAAAGACATTTTGAAAGTCCTGCCTGGTGTTTTTAGTGGTTAGAGCATCAGCCCACCAATCAAGGGTCTCGAGTTTGATTCCCACTTAAGGACAAATAACTGAGTTTTGGTTATCTCCCCATCCCTGATCAGGAAGCATGAAACAACCAGTCAATGTGTTCCTCTCACATCAAGGTTTCTCTCTCTGCCCTTCTCTTGGCCTCCCTTTTATAGTCTCTGAAAATTAATAGAAAATTTTGTCTTCAAGTTAGGATTTAAAATAAAAAAGACTTTTTGGAAGCTACAAAATCCTGAGTATCCTGGCACCAGTAAAATACATTCCACTTTTGTTTCTTGTTCTTTCAAGATTCAACGGCTCTTTTCAGTCACTTGAACTTACTACACTCCTCACTTCAGGATCCATACCTAAACATACCCTGATTTCTCTCAAGCTGTCTTCAAATGCCACTTCCTTATCCTAGCCTAAGTTTACATTTCACTATACCCCTCCCCTTTTTCCCTTCATAGCATTAACCCAGATTGTAACTAAAATTCCTGTGCTAGTATTGCAGGGCTTTCATGAGAATAAGGATGATATCTGTCTTGATCATGGCTGCTTCTTGGTACCTAGCACACGTTGTAAATAAATAAGCAATGAAATACAGTCAATCCTTGTCTCCCATCTCAAGCAGTTTGTTTCTTAACCAAGTTGTTCATAGAAAAAAATGTCTTGGTTGTGGAACCAAAACTTCTGTTTTCAAAGGGACAAATCTTTCATGCTGATACCCCGAAGTGACAAAGTGTCTGTCAGGCAACAAACAAAGGAGAGAATGCTTTTGTTGTTGACCAAAATCTATAATTAGCACAATTTTAAAACATAAAGAGGCCATCTAGAATGCTAATGTTGGCCTGGCTGGTTTTGCTCAGTGGATAGAGCATCAGCTTTGAGAATGAAGGGTCTGGATTCCATACCAGTTAAGGGCAAATGCCAGGTTTGGGGATCAATCTCTGGAGGGGGCATGCAGGAGGCTGCTAGTCAATGATTCTCTCTTATTGATTTTCCATCTCTCCCTCTCTCTTCCTCTCTGAAATGAATAATTTTTTTTTAAAAAAGAAAGATAAAAGGAAAGAGTGCTAATGTTGCTAAGGGTGTGGAAGTATATAACAATCACAGACAACCAAATAGATATAACAATTGCTGTTGATTGCAAAAAACAAAAAGCACTTGGCTGTTGATAGCATTTCTAGGCAGTGATACAGGAAAAATTAGTCCAGGATGGTTTGATAAATTTAAGAAAAGAAGTGCTTATTATTTTTTTAAATATATATTTTATTGATTTTTTTACAGAGAGGAAGGGAGAGGAATAGAGTTAGAAATATCAATCAGCTGTCTCCTGCACATCTCCCACTGGGGGTGTACCTGCAACCAAGGTACTGCCCTTGACCGAAATTGAACCTGGGATCTTTTATCCCACAGGCCGACGCTCTATTCACTGAGCCAAACCAGTCAGGGCAAGAAGTGCTTATTTATAAGCAGTACATTAGACATGTACTACATGTAAGAAAGGTTACAACAGGGAATCATTTGGGTTCTGAGAAAGATTAATTCAATTTTGGCTCACTGGGAAAAATTCTTCCCAATGGGAAAAAGTGATTTTTTTTTTTAACAAATTGCTTCTCAAACAGCCTTCCAGAATGAATTAAGTTTGAAAATAAAGTTCCACTGTAATGTAAGAATGCTTTCATATGTATCATTCACAGTATTGAATAACATTTACAGAATAAAAGATATGTTTTAAATTACAGTGACAATAATCTCAAATCAAACTGTCATTCTCACCCTGCCTTCATGGCTCAGTGGTTGAGTGTTGATCTATGAACCAGGAGGTCACAGTTTGATGCTAGGCATATGCATAGGTTGCCATTTTGATCCCAGTAGAGGGTATGTGAGAAGTAGATAGTCTATAATCCTTTCCCATCATTGATGTATCTATCTCTCTCTCCCACTCCCTTCTGCTCTGAAATCAGTAAAAGTATATTTTGTAAAAACATATATAGTTCTCTAGTTGTTATGAATTTAGGCTATCTTCAATGTGATTTCAGGGAAGCATATACAGTGTATATACCTTAAACTAACAGTAGTTTAGTCTCATATCTTTCATTTATGTATGACTTCTAATCATTGCCTGTTCTCAATAGATACTGGCTAAATAAAAGTATTATTATTAATCCATGTTTAGATTCTATATTATTAATCCTCGAATAACTGCAGCAATCCTGTAAAAAAGAGAATAAAGTTGGAGGGATCACAATACCAGATATCAAACTATGTTACCAAGCTATTGTTCTCAAAACTGCCTGGTTTGGCACAAAAACAGACATATAGATATATAGGGAACTCATACAACTTAATAAAAGGAAGATAACCCAAACAAAAAAAATTGGCAAAGTACTTAAATAGACACTTTTGAAAATGGACATAGAGAAGGCCAAGAGATATATGAAAAGTCAAAGTCACTAGTCATCTGAGAGATGCAAATCAAAATGACAGTGAGGTACTATCTCACACATGTCAGAATGGCTATCATCAACAAACAAGTGGAGAAAAAGGAACCCTGGTGCACTGCTGGTGGGAATGCAGACTGGTGCAGCCACTGTGGAAAACAGTATGGAGTTTCCTCAAAAAATTATAAATGACACTCCCATTTGACCCAGTAATCCCACTGCTAGGAATATATCTGAAGAAATCAGAAACTCCAATCAGAAAGGACGTATGCACCCCCATGTTCATAGCAGCACAATTTACAATAGCTAAGATTTGGAAACAGCCTAAGTGCCCATCAGCAGATGAGTAGATTACAAAATTGTGGTACATCTACACAATTGAATACTACACTGCTATATATAAAAAAAGAGCACTTACCATTGACAACAGCATGGATTGACTTGGAGAGCATTATGCAATTCAAAATAAGCCAATCAGAGAAAGATAAGTATCACATGATCTCACTCATTTGTGAAATATAATGAACAACATAAACTGATGTACAAAAATATATCCTGAGACAGAATCATCAAACCTCAGATGGAAGGCAGGGGAGGGTGTGTATGGGGTAGGGGGTAGGAGATCAACCAAAGGACTTTTATGCATGCATATGAGCATAACCAATGGACACAGACAGTAGGGGGTGAGGGCATATGCTGGGGGTGGGAGGAGCTGGGGTGATGTCAATGGGAGGAAAGGGAAGCATATGTAACATTTTAAACAATAAATAAATTAAATTTTTTAAAAAAGATTCTCTAGTTCGAAATTTTTCAACATCATAAATATTGAGATACATCAGAAGATGGTGGCATAGGTAATTGCTGGTACTAACCACCTCCCAAACACACCACAATTATAACTAAAATACAAAACAACCATTATTCAAAACAACCAGAAAGCTGGCTAATGGTAAGTCCTACAACTAGAGAAGTAAAGATGAAAGCATGTAAGACTGGTAGGAGGTGCAGAACAGGCTGGTCCAACACCCATTTGTGGCTTGCTTTTAATCGGGAGGGTTATCTCTGTTGCAGAGGCCTCCTTTGAGAAGCAAGGGGTCCCAACCACATACCATACCACTAGCCCAATTAAAAATGAAAGTACCTTATAAAATAGTGATTCCACTTCTGGGAATATATCCAAAGAAATGCAAAAGACTATATGCACCCCTGTGTTCATTGCATGTTATTTACAATAGCCAAGATTTGGAAGCCAGCCCAAGTGTCCATCACTAGATGGGTGGATAAAAATGGTGTGGCTTGCCCTAGCTGGTCTGGCTCAGTGGATAGAGTGTCAGCTTGTGGACTGAAGGGTTCTGGTTTCAATTCTAGTCAAAGGCACGTCCCCGGGTTTCGGGCTTGATCTCCGGCGTGGAACATGAAACAGGCAGTCAATCAATGATTCTCTTTCATCACTGATGTTTCTATCTCTCTCCCTTTCCCTTCCTATCTGAAATCAATAATATATATATATATATATATATATATATATATATATATATATATATATTTTTTTTTTTTTTTTTTTTTTTTTTAAGAAAAGTGTGGCTCAATTGGTTGGGCTTTGTCATGGGTACCAAGGGATTATGGGTTCTATTCCTGTCAGGGCACATGCCTAGCTTTCTGGCTTGATCTCCAGTAGAGGCCATGTAGTGTTCATGTGTCACTCTCATATCTCTCTCTCTCTCTCCTTTTTCCCCCCCTTCTCTCTCTCCTCCATCTTCTTGCTTTAAAAATCAATTTTTAAAAATCTTAAAAAAACAGAAGCTGTGGTACATTTGGATGGACCTGAAGTGTATTATTTTGTGAAATAAGCCAGTCAAAGAAAGACAAATACCACTTGATTTCACTCACATGTGGACTCTAATGAACAATATAAACTAACAAAGTGGAGACAGACTCTTGGATAGAGAAAACAGACTGGCAGCTGTGGGATGGGAGGGGTGTTAGGGTGAGAAGTGTGAAGGTATTAAGCAAAGAAACAAAAGAAAGACTGGGGACTCAGAGGACAATATGGTGATTGCCAGAGTGAAGGGGGCTGGAGGTGGGTGGAGTTATAAGAAAGTAAAGGGGGGATAAATGGTAATGGAAGGAGACAAGATTTGGGGTGCTTAACACACAACACAATATGCATACAATGTATTAGAGAATCACATACCTGAAACCTACATAATTTTATTAGTTAATGTCACCCAAATAAATTCAATTAAAAAAAAAGAAAACAAAAATTAAGCATAACATTGAATAAGGAATAATATAAAAGAAAGATACAAGCAAATTAGTTACATCCCAGCCACTCATTTCCTAGCAAAATATACACATTTTGATATATACGGAATTACAGATAGGCATTTAAAGAGGATGTCAGAGAAAAACAATAGCCTCTGTGGTATGCTCTTACCTGGTATTGGAAAAATGATGTTATTACAGATTTATTGAAAAAGGGTGGTCAGATTCCTGGGATCCTTTGCTGAGGTGATGTTTCCTTCTCCACTGTAGCTCTCTTGGAACTGTGTTAATATCCCAACCATAAAATTTTTGTGATCCTCTTTTTTGATTCTAGAAGGCTGCTTCCTTTTCCTAAATGTGTTTTCTCTTCTTAAGAGGATTAGGCTGACACACCCAGTGTTGGTGGTGGGTGTTTCCCAGAGCTCTTGGTGAATAACTGTAGGTGAGCTGAGTGTGAAATGGTAGAGAACCAAGAAACAGTGAATGAATAATCTTTTTCCTAAGGCCGTCCTAAAGGAAACTATTGACCATTGCTACCGATCTTTCTACATCACAAGCACATGCCCTTCCTTTCCAGCTTTCTCTAGACTTTCTGCGTATCTTTTCATAAAGGTATTTCCTAATTTTCTTAACTATACACAAACAAACAAACAAACAAACAAAACAACGATGACTTTAAGGTCCCTCTTTAAAACAAGGGCATACTTACATATTTCAGAGCCACCCAAAGGTTACAAGGTTTAGAAGTCTCAAAGACCAATCTGTATCACGTGACTGGAGTGATGTGCCAAAGTTGTTAAAGTATTGCCTTCAAAATGACAAAAGCTGCCCTAGCTGGTTTGGGTCAGTGAATAGAGCTTCTTCCTGAGGTTTGATTTCAGCCAAAGGCACCTACCTTGGTTGCAGGCTCCTCCCCAGCCCTGGTCCTGGTCTGGGCTCCTGCAGGAGGCAACCAATAGATGTGTTTCTCTCACATCAATATTTCTCTCATTCTTTCTCATTTTCACTCTCTCTAAGAAATCAATTGAAAAATATGCTCAGGTGAGGATTAAAAAAATAATAATAACAGCCTCCCATGTAAGACTCAGTGGTTAGGCTGTAAGTCCTCAAAGTGTCTACAGTTCCCAGTTCAATTCCTGGCCAAGGGCACATACCTGGGTTCCAGATTCAATCCCTGGCATGGTCCCTCTGGGAATGTGCAGGAGGCAGCAGATCTCCAAAGATGTCTCTAGCTCTCTTCTTGCCTTCCTCTCTCCTTCTCCTCCGCCCTTCTTCCCTCCCTATCCCCAGCTCTTCCTCCCTCCCTAACCACAGCCCTTCCTCCATCCCTATCCCCAGCCCTCCCACTCTCTCTAAAAATCAATGGGGGAAAAAACACAACAAAAGAAAAAAAATCTTGGGTGAGGATTAAAAACAACCAAAAGACAAAATCCAGTTAATCTATCAAAGCAAGCACTCTTCCATAACAGATTAAGATAAAAAAATAATAATAAAAAAATAAAAATAAAAACAAAAAACAAAAACCTCAGGGAACATAATTTCACGTTTTCAAAGACATTTGTTAGAATCGCTGATTAATAAACAATCTTTTCTATCGTTTGATAAGTTATAAATAAAAGTCAGGCCCAGCTGAAACGGGTTTGGCTCAGTGGATAGAGCATCAGCCTGCGGACTGAAGGGTCCTGGGTTTGATTCTGGTCAAGGGCATGTATCTTGGTTGCGGGCAAATCCACAGTAGGGGATGTGCAGGAGGCAGCTAATTGATGACTCTCTCTTATGCTCTTATGGATGTTTCTAACTCTCTCTCTCTCTTGCTCTCTCTCTCTCTCTCTCTCTCTCTCTCTCTCTCTCTCCCTCTCTGTAAAAAATCAATAAAATATATTTTAAAAATAAAAAAATAAAAGTCATGCCCATCATGTATGGTTCAGTGGTTGAGTGTTGTCCCAGGGGGTCCCTAGTTTGACTCCTATGTTGCAGGTTTAATGCCCAGTATGGCACACATAGGAGGCAGACAACTGATGTTTCTCATCAATGTTTCTATATCTCTCTCCCTCTCCCTTCCTCTCTGAAATCAATAAAAACTTAGTTAAATTTAAAAAGTAAAATTAAATTAAACCCATGATATATAGAAATTTAGATAGAAACACAACCTTTGAGAGCTGGTTTGTTGTAAAACCAGTGATTTCTTGATTAGATTATGTTTATAAAGGTATATTTAGGGAGATTTAAAAGGGTGTGAAATTAATTCTATTTAAAGACCTCTGAAATATAATCCTTAGGAAAAATGGGTATGGCCTTTAGAGACTCTATAGCATCAGCCCTCAGACTCTGTACTTCAATTCTGCTCAAGAGCATGTGCCTCAGCTGCAGGCTCAGTCCTCCAGACCTGAATATCTCACTGTGATGTTTTTCTCCCTCCCTACCTCTCCCAGATTCTTTTCATTCTCTCTAAAAGTCAATGGGGAAAATGTCCTCAGGTAGGATGAACAAAACGTCTGAAATATAATCCTTATAAGAAATAGGTGTGACCTGTAGAGACACAATATAAAGACACTCAGGGAGCCCAACACTGAGTCTTCTCCAGAACAGAGTGTCTTGAGAACTCACCTGGTGGGAAGACTTCTGGAAGAGACTGCCACCACACAGAAAGTCTTGATCCCTGAGCTGACCTCTTCCTATTTTTCCTGCTACGGAAAGCCCTGGAGACCCTGGATCTGCTCCTTAGGCCATATTGGGGTTTCTATAACTTTCCTAAAGAACAACAAAAGGATTCCTAATTTCAATTAATCACCAAACTGAGTTTGTTTCTATCAAGTAATGTTTTTTGCCATCTTAGTGAAAATTATTTCATGTATGTTTGGCATCTTGTTTTGGTAAGTGTATTGGAATGAATATTAACTTTTGTTATCTTATATTCCTTACTTGTTCCTATGGTTCGTAAGGATTTAGAAAGTAGTGCCCTGGTATCTTGTGGATTAATACATGGCATAGATTTAAAACATGTTTTAGGGATATTTGATTCTATATGCATTACACATTACAGTCTCCTCTGTATACAGTGAGAGGTATAAGTTACAATACATATAACTAGATAACACACTCAGTGATGTAAGGAGATTATTGTTTTAAAGTTAAATGTCTGAAGAAACATGAGTTTTCTGACTTACATTTTAAAGAATGTAGGTCA